TAAGCTGCCTAGCTACTGCTACTATACACGCGTACGCGCACATGTTGGTATCTATTGGTATCTATCATGTACACAGGATATTATAATAACAAAGGTCGTACGTGTCGTACGGAATATGTAGCATTGGTACGCAAGCAAGACGTCTCCGAACCCGTCGCCCCTCTTTCCACGCGCGGGCCATTCGTCCAATGCACCTATGCAATGTGTGATGATGCGAGAACCTTCAGCTCCTCTCGGCGATGCTGCCGCACAGAATTTCTTCCGGCCTCGGGAGTCTCGCTATCCGCCATTTTTCTCAGCGACGCATGTCGCTCCCAGGCGGGCACCCGGCGTTCCCTTGCGTTTCCCTCGCGTTTCCCTCGGGCAACTGACCCATTCCAGTCAGCAAAACGGTTGTATCCTCATATGTACGTCGCTTGTCTGTCGTAGGTATACCTCATGTATCTGTATACCTGGTAAAGTAAAGCTATGCACAACCACACTAGGTACATGCATACAGTACATGATAATAGTAATTATTATTATAATTATAATAAAACTACAACATATCTCGTTATGTTGTCCTAACCCAATCGAGTCCTGTGGGCGCAGCGGATAGCGGCCAGGCGTTGCGACCCTAGAGGAACCTTGCCGGGTGTATTTTCTGACATGTCATCTTTTTTGCCAGGGAACAGCCAATGTTTTTATGACAAATCTGCCGCAGGCAAAAATCTGGTTCCGCGAGCTTAGTGTTATTGGGTACCTCGCAAGCACGACTGAACCCGACCAACTATGGCCTATTAGATGCATTGTACCATACAAGTACAGGACGTTTGATGAGTGGACCAATCGTATCTTTAAGGAGTTTGAGATCAGAGAGACTTGAGACCTGTTTGTAAGAGGCGGAGCAAGTTTCTAGGGGGCAATACGATGTGTGTCACCGGCGAACCCAGGTCGCCATTCTCCCATTATTCGATTAGGGGCTGGAAATCCAATCTTTTGAAGCCGCCAAGCGCTCCAAGCCAAGGCCAAATGAATCTGGGAATGTCACATGAGCTTCCCTTACCTAAACGCGATGGAACCTGTCCCCAGTGCGACCCTCGGGAAACTGAGATGCTACTCTGTGGCTTGGTCCCGGCGATCATTGAAGCGACCGGGGGTCACTTTGGGCGGTCCACCACGCCTGCTTATCAGACTAGGGGAGGGGAGCGAATTGGCCGACTCCTATTGGCGCAGCAAACTCCGGTGAAGGAGTGGTGGTGAGCATCGGACGATCTGACCCTTGAACGAAACAAGATTAAGGTCATTTTTTTCCTGCTGCTCTACATCTGCATTGCAGGATCTCTGACTTCATACAAGCTAGGTACATACAAGTGTGTTCACCTAGGATCGGGCTCGAACCAACGTCGAACGTTTTACTTAGCGGACCCTCTCCTGTACATACAAATAGGGGCCAGAAGGACAAGCTTCTGATATTATGCCCCGTAGCCGAAGGGTCTTTATTGTTTATTGCCTGTCACATTCTCCAGCGGTGGGAACGAGAGGTTCGAGAGCTACCAACGTGTTGTCAAGCGGCCTAGGATCGCTGCAAATCACTTCTTGTTGTCTCGAGGAAATATATGTGGTACAACACCATTTAGTAGAGATGGGTGCAACCGCACTCTATCATGAGTTCTGCAACTCGAGTTTCTGCGGTTCCAGTTAGTAATAAGTATCATGGGCCCACCACCGTTGGGGTAGAATGACAAGGTGCCTCACAGGCTAGTCGGCGACGAAGCTCTCTTCGGCTCACGGCATAACTTTCTAGTCCACCTTTAGTCTTTAGTACTACATACGCTTGCCTAGGAGGTAGGTACGCATCACCAGTCGTATTTACTTACGAACGATCCCTTATACACACAACCCCTTTCTCACAGAATAGAGCTGCGTTATGTCTGATATATTCCCCAGATTCAGATCACGATCTTATACATTGTCACTACTGGACCCGGCTTCCCTCCGGCTCCTACCCTACCACTTAGTGCAGTTGGTTACCTAGGTAGGTAAGCATATCTCCCTGACAACCCTGTCTCGAATATGACCGCTTCAGCCTTATTGCCGAGCTGGCTTATTCTGTTTCCTCTGCTCTAGCCTAGCAGTACCGCAATAGGGAGTTGCTTTTCCCGATATGCCTCGTTACGGTCCATCCTATCCAAGACACCGACATATCCGTGCTGCGTAATACGAATGTATGTTGTCTGTATGGTGGTGATCATCTCCTATCGGCCGAAGTCATATACAGGGCCAAATCTCACCAGTCGTGGGTTGCTGTTTCTTGTACGTACTTGGAATTAGGCAAACTTCCCTAAGATAGCCTTGTTTCGCTCTCAGGCAAAGCAAGCAGATAAGCAGAGGAGAACACGGCAAAGAGGCAGCAACCTGAAGGCCATAGACAATCATATAACTTGCCTCGGTTCACAACTTCCGGTACATATCACAGAAAATCCGATGCATGTGGCTCCATATAAGAATAACAGGTGACGGACTTGACTAACCTAGGTACCTAGGTAAGTATGAGGTCCGCTGGAGCTCCCGCCATGGCGCCGCCGAACTGGAGATTCGGTGACGGTCTGGCCGTTACAAGAAGTTGAAGCTGCCGACGTGCATTGAAAGGAACGCAGACAAGATGAAAAAGAGACCTGTCGTTTCATTTAACTTTCCCGGGTCCTGAGCAACTCGACCCGATCTCGCAAAATCCCCATGCAATCTTGCAGAGAGGCTTTTTTTTTCCCTATTTCTTCCCCCTTCGATCTTCCCTACCCCTCTTGGCTTGCCCATTCTTTTTCGCCGAGGCTCACACACACGGCCCAATCCTAGCCTTCCACATGCACGACGACCGGAAGGCCAATGAGGCATCTCTCTCGGGTGGTTGCATGACCGATTTTCGATCTCGAATCGTCTAGCTCTATTCAGTGCGAGGTACAGAAGGGGTCCGACACCTGGTCTGGTTGGATGGAACTTTCCCCCCTCCTGGGTCGTATGTATATATATAATCTAATGACGCAAGTGCAGCAGTCCTTTCGCTGCTTACTGCCATAATCCGTCCTCCTAATGCGTGGCGACGACGTACGAGGTCCCCGTTTTCGACCCGTCACGAGTAATGTTTTGTTCATGTCTTCCTACGCCCCTTTATACCCTTACCGACGTAACTCAGGTAGGTATCCAGCGTACCGAATCCATCCCGCGTGTGAGGTACCTACCTAAATGGTTGGTAAGGTTGTTGGTGGTTAGCGAAAGTCCCAGAACCCTATGAGAATTTTTACCGGTTTCAAACCTGGAGCGCCACGTATAATTGATATGTGACAGGTCGTTTGAGGCATCAAGCTAACGGGGAGCCTCGCTACAAAAATTGTCGCGATGAGTAATCCACTCCAACCGACCAATTTCCAAGCAAAGATGGAAAGAGAGAATAGAGAGACAGCCACTATGTTAGGTACAAGTACATGACGTAGATAACTTAGTCAGTGCACTTCCGGTTCGCCATGCGAGTTGAAGCGTGCCGGTTCTCAAAAGAACATGCGAGCGTCACTCACCCCTTTAGGTGGTTGGTGCGGCCGTAAAATGCTATGTAAGAAGGTATGTATGTACGTGCTGCTACCTGGCAGCTCTGCACAGCTTTCAACCCATGATCTACCATTACTCGGTACTCCTATAGGTGACATCATGCAGGATGTGTGCGTTCGCCCTTGGCATATCTCAGATTCGGCACTTGGATGTTGCCTCGTTGAAACCTAGCCAGCCAAAAGGGTAATCGGCCATTGAGGTTTGTACGGACGGTGTGCATATACCTAACCTAAGCAAGCTTGTTGCTTCTTGCTTGCTCCAGACTGATTATGCGCTACGACCACCTCTTTATAGTGGCCTACTTCCTTTATGTCGAATTCTTACTCATCTACGACGTATGGTAGTCTCATACCTACCTAAGGTATGGTCATGATATCGCCTCCACATCTGGTCAGTATCGCACCATACATCGTGAGGCTCAAATAGGTGATTCTGACCTGTCAGACCGCAGGACGTAATCGGGTCTGTTGACCACCTCGTTCAGACTGATAGAGCATCAGACAGCTTATCTCCTGTACCCGAGTTGGCTCTAGAACAGTACCGTGGCGAGGTGTTCGATGCAGCTAGTGCTGGAGGTTGCTCGTCGCGGCTATCGTTCGTGGCAACCTGGATATTTCATTACAGTTCTATATGCTTATAGAAATATCGTCAAGATCATATATTACCATGTATAGGAAGACTCAGGAACGTACCTAGGAGGTATGTATTGATTACTAGTACAACGAGTACCTACCTAAGCGATGTATGTCATAAATGTGATATTATAAGAGCTGGATCAAGCATGTATTAAGTCCATCTTTCAATAATTATATAACTTTTGATAACCCTGAAATTCAAGTAAGGAATAAGACTTTGACGAAAGGCACGGTTACTCGCACTTTAATGGGGATGTCTGATGATAAAGCGTAGAACGTCCTAATTAGGGGCCAGAACATATCACGGTTTCTCCTATTTGCTACTAGTAATACAAATCATATTAAGATGGGATCTCATCTCTCTCTCACACATATTAGGACAATCCCCCCTAGTAATGAAGATTCTGCCATGCAGCGTGTACTAGCTCTGGTGCCTGATAATAATAATAACACTGGGTGGCCGTCAACGATAGCTTCATTATATTAGATTGTCTACGTAAGTGTTCAGTCCTATATTGATAATATATTTGGAAAGTAGCTGGATATCTTCTACGGCACACCTGAAAGGTACCTGTCAGCGGTCTATTGTCATCTTCTAATTACCACCATTATTTATTTAATTTTGAATTATACAATTCGCTGATCATAGCAATGTTATAGTGCTCTCCACCAGATGTCATGAGGATATTTTAACTTTATTTATGCTGTGTATCGCGGGAGGATCGAATCGGGATCAGCTTGAGACATCACGCATACCTAACCTTGCCCGGAGATAAAAACCATTGCCCAACACAGGAATCGAACCTGTTGCCTCCTCATTGATCCTGATCCTAACCCTTTAGAAGAACTAGCTAGTGTAGTTATTTTTATGAGAGAGAATATACTAGTGAGGCGCTCTACCGATGAGCTAGTCGGGCTAGTCGATTGTTACTCTCCGCCATTTGATAAAAGATCTGTGGATTAAACAACATTACCACCAAGCTTTCTGCCTTAGAGATGACCACGATCGGCTTGTATAATTTAGACCTGCACTTGGATACTGCGCCCAGTGTCCTTGTCTGTAGAGAGAGCATCGAGTAGATGCAACTATGTGATTGACATAATATTCGACATTCACCTCCCATAGTATTCAAAGCAAAGGTTAGGTAGCTTAGGAGATCCATATTCATATTGCGCGCCTTTCGCTAATGCCCATCTCAAGAATGTTGTATTGGCCGACGCTTGTTTTTGTCGTGAGTCGAGACTGTCTTGTCAGTCGCTTCGCATTATTAACAGGCAACCTAACCAGAACCGTGTGCTGGAAAGAATGAAACAATTGCCTATACCGAGCATCGAGCTAATATAGTCTAATTCAATCAGATCGTCGGTTTTTACATATGACTTACTAGGTAGGTTAGGTAGGCACGGCAGATTGCATTCCATCGACACCAGAGAGATCTGAAGATGGTGGGGTATTTAGGTACCTACCTACCGTACCAAGACCTGGTAAGAGCAATTAACTGTTTATTTTACGTCAATCGTTTACAAACCGTTTGAAGATTTCTAATTATTTGAAGCTTTTAATCGTTTATTTATTTTTTAACATTCTAAAGAATAAACTCCTATTTCAATATATATAATAGCTTAATCTCTTGATCCCATGTACCTGAGTATTTTTTTTTTCTAATTGATTCTAATGGCTCTGGTGGCTCTGGTAGTCTATATAAGAAAAAGTTCCCCCATCTTGCAATCCTAAATTCTTTCCTTCTAATACACACACACACACACACACACACACACACACACACACACACACACACATACACACACACACACACATACGCAAGGCCACACGCAAGGCCACACGCAAAGCCACACGCAAGGCCAATTACCTGGTATTACATAAATTTATAAATTTATAATTATATAATAATTTTTATAATCATAGCTTTTATAATTATAATTTATAATTATAATTTATAATTATAATTTATAATTATAAAAATTTTTATAATTTAATTATAAAATTTAAACTTTTATTTTTATTTTAATATTAATTTAATTAATTTCAATTATTTATTAATTTTTATTTACCCGTTAAATATTTAAATTTAATTTAAATATTTAAATTATTTTTTAGCGTTATAAAAATTTAATTATATTTTAATAAATTTTAATTTTTTAATATTTAAATATTTTTAACTGTAATTTAATGGTTAATTGACGGTTAATTGCTTTCACCTAATCTTTGTACGGTACCAATGGCTAAGCCAATCGCTAGCTTAGGGCAATGAGTAAGTGGATATAGTTGAAATTTAGAAGCTAGATTTCCACTAAAACCCATCTCATATATTCCTCGGTGGCGCAATTGGCTAGCGCGTCTGACTGTTAATCAGGAGGTTGAAAGTTCGAGCCTTTCCCGGGGAGTTCCCTTTTGTCTCATTTTTAACCAATGCTTGTCATCGGCAACTAGAAAGTTCACAGCTCAGACTGATATATTTTTTCTTACGCAAGACATGAGCTGTACTGGATTGACAGCTGTACCAATTGCCCATTGCTATCACGCTGGGCATCCAGGCCACCTCGACAGAGCCTCCTTTTCAAGGTCTAATACCGCCGTATCCTGCTCACCAAGTTCATTCCCCTCCATAACTTATGTACTCAGGTGCCTGCTATCCAACACCTCGGAGGAGGGACACTGGGTCGGGCGGGACGTGGCCTCTATCAACATGATGAAGTCGCGGCCTACCTACCTCTTTTCTAGTCAATACGATATAGCTTTAGGTCTTCTAGCAAATCGGTGACGCGGAGCTTCGAGGAATCCAAAGTCAGATTTGAGACTTGCCATGCGCTTCAGACCCTGTGCCATTGACCTGTCAGACCTTCGCGAATCACATCATTGCCCATCACCGCTCTTGGTGTAGAATGTAGTCATGCAAGACGACCTGTGTTGTTCGATACTGGATTGTAAATCTTAACGACAGTTATCGGAGGATTTTCTGCCTCTGTCCATACTTCCATGTCGACTTAACCCATGTATACCTAGCTACCTACCTAAGGTAGGTAGGTCCGCAGTTTTATGTGCAATAATTCTTGCTCAGGCTTGGTGCAGATAATCTCCCACGTACACTGTTAAGTACAACCTGTTAGCTGCTCGGACTATGACCTTGCGGCAAATGATTTGGTGTTTCGTGGTGTTTCGTCTTCAAATCTCACATCGTGGACTCACTATAAGAAAAAAAGAAAAAAAAGAAAAAAAACCCATGGGGTAGAATTTTGATTCAGAGGTTTAAAAATGCAAAAGAAACTCCCCGGGAAAGGCTCGAACTTTCAACCTCCTGATTAACAGTCAGACGCGCTAGCCAATTGCGCCACCGAGGATTCGTAACTTACGTTGCGAGAGTATAGGATGTTGATTTTGGAATTGTAAACATGTCTCTTTACTCATTTGTGTAGGGAGTAGAGTGGAGCTCATAGGGTCAGGGCTACGCTAACTCGCGTTCCAGTTCGGCTATCTTAGACCTTGGGAGGCTTACCGACGCATTCTCCTGACCGTCTGGAGCAGCGAGCGCGATTAATGATCCCTAGGAGCGGCACGATGTTCGATGTTCGATGTTCGATAGAGATAGAGCGCCATCAATGCCGCCCAAGGGTACTGTGCTCCGTAAGGCATGAGGCATGAGGCATGAGGCATGAGGTTGGGCCCATAGCACCAAGTAAATTAAAGGTCGGAACTGGCTCATCGAGATGGCACTCCTTTGATGCACGATAGCAGAAAGGTAGTTGGGTGTATTCTTTAGGTAAGTATTCGTAGGACCGCGTGCTAGCTTATAAGTACTAGTAAAGAAGAGGAAGACATGAATTATCTCTGAAGTCTACACCCGACCGGCACCAACTCATCCTGTACATGTGTATAAATCTAAACCAAGGGGAAAAAAGAATCATTATATATGCACCCTCTCCCTTGAGATTGTCGCCAAGGTCAATCCTGCCCAATGCCTTACCAACACGCGATTTCAACCCGCCGTGACGTCTTCTCCGATCCCATTATCATGGCTCATGTCCCATCGTGCAGCATAACCCCCTTTCCCCTTCCACAAGAATCGTATCATATCTGCTCGTTAATGCATATCCGACCATGCCGGCATGACAGACAAATTCTTCACCGCGTTAGCGACGCAAAGGGTTTCTCTTCGAACCCGTCACCACCGTCACCTTTAAACCCACCGGCGCCTCCTCATATCGAGCTCACCCCCCTCCGGAGGCGGAGGCCCTGGTAGGATCTCGCGAATGATATCATTGATCCCCCTCCCCGTAGCCCGCACATCCTGCCACTGGCGCGGATACCCCAGACTGCACTCTTCAAACCTAACACCGGCCTTCCAGTCCGTGCGCGGCACATGCAAATGTCCCGTCACCACGACCTTCGCGTTGAACCGTGTATGCCAGTCCTCGGTCGCCTTGGTCCCGCACCAGAGGCAGAACCTCGGCACCTTGGGGATATAGACCAGATCCTCGCGCAGGGGCCAGTGGTTCACGAGCACGTACGGCAGGCCCTCGGGGTTCTCGGTCGCGAGCCTCGTCTCCCACCTCGCGATGAGGGCCTGGCACCAGGCGTCGCGGCTGGGGTACGGGTCCGGGTGCAGCAGGAACTCGTCGGTGGCGACGGTGTCGGTCTGCTCGGCCCACTTGAGGGCGCCCTCCCTCGTGACGTGGGGCGGCCGGAAGCTGTAGTCGTACAGCGTGAACAGCAGCGCGATCAGCACGGGGCCGCCCTCGCCGTCCCAGCGCACGAACGGGTCTTCGGGGGTGTGGACGCCGTGGCGGCGCGCGACGTCGACGCAGAAGTTGTACTTGGCCTCGCCGCGGAGGTCCGGGCGCGACGACGCCAGCGTGTACAGCTCGTGGTTCCCCGGACACCAGAAGACGTCCTTGAACCGCCGCTTGGCCACCGTGAAGGCCAGCTCCAGGTGCGCCTCGGTCTCGCCCACGTCGCCGCACAGGATCAGCCCGTCGTCCTGGTGCGGCGTGATCTCCTCGATCGCTTTGCGGTTGAACTCGTACCCGAGGTGCAGGTCTCCGAGGGCGTATAGCTTCATGTTGTTGGAGGAGGCGCCGCTGCCGCTAGCATTGGGTGTTGCCTTGTAGGGTAAGGTGTAGGTTGGATAGGTACCTAGGTAGGTAGACCAGGGATGTAAGGACGTTAGACGTTAGGGTTAGGACGAGAAGCGTGGGTTGGAGAATTGACTCGGGTCCGGCCAGCGGATGACGGATGGGCAAAGTTGGGAGGATTTCCAATTCCCCGAAGTGACCAATTGCATGTTGCTTACATGAAAAGGTCACAGGATCACAGGATCATAGGATAGTACGTCTATATGCTATATGCTATATGCTATATGCTATATGCTATATGCTATATGCTATATGCTATATGCTATATGCTATATGCTATATGCTATATGCTATATGCTAT